CGTCCCTTTTTATTTACCCAACTTTGATTTTTCCAGTCAAAGATTATAAACTTTGATCCATTATTTTAACTAATATATTTATGTAAAATTTAATAAACTTATACTTTTATGATGGTATTTTTAACAAAGAACATTTTCATATAATTTTTATATTATCAATATTACCGTGTATAAATATATAATCGGTCAAAGTCGAACAACTTTGACTTGAAAAATAGTGTTTGACTAAATAAAAAAAGGACGGAGAGAGTACTATATAATAATTAAAACCATTGTTCGATCCAAGTTTGACATCATTGTACATAAATGTTAATAGGACAAATCTTTTTGGGAGGAAGGTAGTACGTATTGTGTAACCTATGAATTTATATGGAGTGTATTTTCAATTTATTGTACTCAAATCGCAATCACGAACTTAATTTTTCAAACACTTTTCTGATAATTGTGTTTAAATAAAACAAAACATTCAATATGAGTTAGACTTAATATTTTGATTTGATATGTTTTCGAACCGGCCCAAGTGAAACGCACAAAAAAATTAGAGGTGAATCCGGTCTCCCAATTCTACTTTTTGTAATTAATTTTTTGACATCAGAGATGACTTCGAAATTATCCTACGTGGACAAAACTCCATAGATACATGGGCCCACAGCCACCCACAAACGACAACTCCCACATCCTTGGCCCATTCCAGAAACAACGCCCACCTTTCGTATACAATCTCGCCGTGCCCGTGCATGGATTATCACATGATCATAGTCATCATACCATATACGAAGTATTTTTTTATAAATATTATAATTATACTATTTATTATTATTATTATTAGTATTGATATTAATCTATTATTATTCTAATTATTGTTATCATCAATATTTCTTAAAATACAGTAGAGCAACGTAAAAATGTTCACAGACGGCCGTCGGCCAATAATTAAGGGACTTATTAATTAGTCGTTGGTCATTAACCACTGTAGTATTATGGATGTAATTGATATGTTATATGTCACGGGGTATATAAATCATGCTAGTTATAAATAATGGATTCGATATTATATGATTTGTACTATAAATACGGCTTAGTCTCCATCAGTTTATGAATAATATAAATTAAAAATACTACTCGTAGTACATATAATATATAAATGTCTGTCCTTGCTTACACAATAGCTAGCCACCAGGAATCTGCGGTATATCTATTATTATACGGAGCATTATTTTCATCATATAAGTATTATAACTACTCCGTATAATTGTTCAATTAATGGAACCAAGCAAAATATATATATGTATAAAACTGCATTAACTAAAGGTCTAATTAAACTCCATACTCCATACAATTACTGTTTTAATTACGAAGTATTTAATTAAGCCGTACTATTAATGAGAGGAAACAGTAGAGCACTAGATCGAGCTGGATGAAGAAATAATAAGAACGCTTCTGATAACAAAATAAGATAAGATGTGTTGAATGACTGGTTATTAAAGCACATGGTTTGGTCCTAGCTGGTACAATTCATATTGCACAAATACACAAGTTAGAAAGTTACATGAATACAACTTAAACACAACACTTATGCATAAATAGAACTCAAAATAAAGAATGTGATAAAAATACTCTCATTCTAAATAATTATTGAAGATATAGTATTGATTAGAAATTTACCATTGTATTGCTCGTTATTTAATTTGTGGAAAATCTTAAGTTGAAATGGATGGTGAAAAATTAATTTGAGTGGCACAACAGCTAGCGAGTCTCGAGCCCGTGAAATTAATTGGAACAAAAAAACACGGAGTAGGATATCTGGATAGGGCCGCACTTTCTTCCATCCTAAAGTTGAATCGCTCCCTCCAAGCGCTATAGACCTGCACAAAAACGGGTTCGAGCTGAGTTTTTTATAAATTTTTTGCCCATCAGGTATGGGCGGGCTCGGCCCGCAAAAACGGGCCTAACCCTATGTCTATACCCGCCCGTAAGAGCGGGCCGGGTAGTCCACCGGGCCACCCGGCCCGGAAAACTTTAATTTTTTCTAAATTATACTCCCTCCGTTCCAATAAAAAAGGCACATATTCCTTTTTAGGCCGTCCCAATGTAAAAGGCATATATTCCTTTTTAGGCCTTCCCAATGTAAAAGACACATTTCCTTTTTTGGCAAACAAAACAGTACAAAACAAATGCCAAACAGTGTCAAACAGTATCCAAACAGTGCCAAACAGTGTTCAAACAGTGCCAAACAGTGTTTCTCTTAAATGAGTGTGGAAAATCAAATGTGTCTTTTATATTGGGACGGAATGAGTATAATTTTTTTAATACATTGAAAATAATATTACAACATTTAAAAAATTGTTAATACATTTATAATGTTTATAGGCCTTTCACCACGTACAAAAATAATACTTACACAAAAATAATAATGAGAAGCTATATCTAAAATTTAAAATTCAAGCACAAAGTATTATCTTTAAGTACAAAAATAGATACTATATTAGTTGGGCTAGTTGTCAAGAATTAAAAACTTAAATTTAAGCATAATAAAATATAAATATGTATAAAGATAAATTATATTAGTAAATATAAATATACATGTGTACATGTAAATAAATAAATAAATTAGTGTGTGTGTGTATAATTTGGATCAAATAAAAAAAGTTTTAACGTGTAAAATGAGAAGGTGACAACTCCGGTACCTTTCTAAAATATGGGGTACCGTACTTATTGTTCATTTGATTGGACCACATCACTTGACTATTTTTAATTTAGATTTAAATAATTCAACTGCTACATTTTCATTGGTTCATGTGGACAAAGGTATGGTACCTTATGAGTACCGTAGAATCTACAAAATGAGAATTAATTTCATCCGTCCAAAGTGTCGATCTGATGCACAATAACCCTTATTCGATGCACTTTCGAATAGACCTTATTTGATGCACTCTAATGCCTTTACATATTTTTTACTAAATTAATAATTTGACCCTAATCCCTTTACATATTTTTTTAGTTTTTAAATAATAATTTGACCCTAATCCCTTCACCTACGTTATTTATTAATTTATGAGTTCGTTTTTTGTTATATATGATGATGAGACGACACCATTAATATGCTCCGTATATATTTTATTATATCACGCAAAAAAGGCAGGCTTCGTAAAATATTCTAATTGATTTCAAAAGGTGCTCATTAGCTTTTAGAATTGATTCGTTTGATTCACTTTTCCTTATCGCATTATCATACGGAGTAATTAACTTGGAGCATTATATTAGTGACCGTAAAAACACGTATAGCTAAATTAATTAATTATTGAAATAACTTTTTTTTGTTTGTAACCTGCTCGTTCTTAATATTACTTTCAAATAATGTCTTATCTTAGACAATTAGTGTCTAACCTTGACAATTAATGTATGACCACTATTAAAAAAAACAATGTTGGCACTTAACTGACTTAAATAGATTGAATTTAACTCGGATTCAAGCATATATTTTTGCATGGTCCGTGTCAAATAGTTCGTGACAAAACGTCTTTGACACGAATTTCATCTCAGGTTTGACATGGATCCGAGATCTCTCACAAATTTGATGAGTTGATGATCGAAAGGCTATAAAAGCACAATGATATTTTGGTAATAAAAGCACAATGATATTTTGGTAATAAAATCAAACGTTTTTCGAATGCAACACTTTGAATTTCAATATGTATTTGTTTATTTCATTGCATAATATGCAACACTTTGAACGTTATTATGCAATACAAATAAGATCAAGATGGGATAAACTTGAATGATTCAAGACCCTTTAACGTAATGACACTAATATGCTTAATCTATATAATAATGTTTGTTTGGTAACACCGAAATTGTGTGAATTAGTTCAATTTGCTTAAAACAGTGAAACCCTTTCGGAACGATTAAATTAACTATTCGACGGCATCTAGAAAATTGTGAAAAATAATATTTAAAATATGTTTCATTAATAAAATAAATAGAAAATTAGATGAAATGTAGTTAAAATGCCAGCCTTCAACAATTTCAGAAGTTTACTCATACAATAAATTTGAAGTTTATATATTTATTATAAAATTTAATGTTCGAAATCAAAAGATACGCATTTGTTAAACAAAAAAAATCTATTTGTACCCACTTTTGTACACACCCCCTATTTTGTCTGTGTACACAGGCAATTCAATAAGAAGATGACAGCATTTATCTCCCAATTGCTTGTATACATAGGCAATGTACATAAATGTGTACACAAAAAGGACTCATTGTTAAAACAATTGATTATGTGACTAACAATCTGAAATACGTGCTATTCAAAAGGTTTCTGAAAATAGAGTGAAGACATATTCACTCATTTTACCTGGCAATTAGCAAGGAATAATACTACTACCTCCGTAAGAAAAATGAAGAGGATGACACGATTATTAAGAAAAATGAGTTTGTGTGGCTGCTATTAATTGATAAAGTAAGAATAATTTAGAGATACACAAACTTTACCAATATGAGACAATTTTAGTGAGATTTTTTGAAAAGGTAAAAGAGGCGGTATAAAGGGGACAGAGGAAAATTTTGTGTTGCTAATATTCTTTTAAATATTTTCTTACTGAACCACAACTTAATATTTTCACTTTTATTTTTACTTTTTAAATAATTGTGTCAAGTCATACTCAAATGTTTTTTTAGGAGGGAGGAGTACTACATAGCAATAATGATACTCATAATAATAATCCTGGCCTGTTTAGGGTGTGGGCCGACCTGGCCTGTTCTGGCCATTGTGACAAATCATTGTTTTTGTTTTCGAAATGGCAAATAATTGTTTAATAAAAATAGTTTGATGTCGAAAAAACACAAAGTGAAATCGTTTTTTTTCCCTTTTAACTTGTGGTGGGATCGCCACAAACGTTGGGTGAACCAACGCAACGCAACAGCAAGGGGGCAAAACCGTAAATCAAATCCCCGAATTTCCTTATCTTTATATACTGCTCGTTCCGTCCATCGAATGTGCATCCTGTACAACCAGATACCCTTTCCTGACCTCTCTCTTTATTCTCAAACATACTTTTCTTCTTCAATAAACTCAAATTCTATATTCAATTTCATCTCCGGATTCCTTTTTTGACTATATTTTTGCTGTTCGGTGTTCTTCAGATCGACTCCAAACTTTCTGATTCCCGCAGTTTTCAGGAATTTGATCATTTCGCTAAAGCAGCAATGGAAAGTGTTACTGATAGAGATTGCTTCTTCGATAGCCGCGATGAGATCAGTTCAATTTCAGGCTCAGATTGTTCTGAGTCCTGCTATGCCAGAAATGGAGACGACGCATTGGGGTACGAAATCTGGACTAATAACCCAGACAGCGTTGATGTCCGCCGAAGCAGGCTTCTGAACTGGATGGGGTTGGGCTCTGACTGGAAGATGAACAACGAGGATGAAATCCAGACCGGTGATAGGGTTAGGGATAACAGCGAGACTGTCCTGGCAAATGAAGATTGCGCCTTTTCGGGCCGGGATGAGGCTTTTGAATATGTTGAAGAGGATGATGATGAAGATTTGGTAGAAGATGAAGGGGAGCAAGAGAAGTCATTTCAAAAGGCAGTTGGATCTTCATCATTGGTTCAGAAGTTGTTGCGCAGGGATTCAAAGGAATCTGATAATGCTTCTACCAAGAAGAAATTGAAGACAAGTTGGTTTCAGAAACTGATCGAAGATCAGAGCAGGAAGATTAAGAGCGCCCGTTTGAATTTCAAAAGCTCTGATTTGAAGTCCGGAAGTGGTATGGAGAAAGTCAGAGTTCACACACACAAGAAGAACTCCAAAGAGCTTTCCTCACTCCACACAGGCCAGGAGTTTCATGCCCACCAAGGTTCAATCCTCACAATGAAGTTCAGTCCTGATGGTGAGTACCTAGCAAGTGCTGGAACTGATGGAGTAGTGCGTGTCTGGAAAGTGGCTGCCACAGAAGCTCCTAAGAGTCTGAACCGTCAAGATGCTGATTTGTGCTTTTCCATGAGTGATTTGTGCAAATTGACTTCACTTGACCAAGACAAGGAGAAGATGGCCCAGGCGAAGAAATTGAAGAAACCATCAGAATCAGCTTGTGTCATACTCCCTCCCAAAGTGTTCCAGATTCTGGAGAAACCAGTTCATGAGTTCACAGGCCATTCTGATGAGGTTTTGGCGCTCTCCTGGTCGAGAAACGGGTTTTTGCTGTCATCCTCTGTTGACAGTACCGCTCGCTTGTGGCAAGTTGGACATGATCAATGCCTTGGAGTTTATCCCCATAACAATTTTGGTAAGTTCAGTTACCTTGAAATATCTTGTTTCTATTGAGAAATGTTTGAGTTACACTTCCTTATTGTCTGTGCCTTTGGCTAACCAAATCTGTTACTATTTATGCAGTTACCTGTGTTGAATTCAATCCCATGGATGAAAATTACTTCATTAGCGGATCAATTGACGGAAAAGTGCGCCTTTGGGAGATCCAGCGTGCCCGAGTGGTCGATTGGATCGATGTGAAAGAAATGGTAACCGCTGTATGCTATCGCCCTGATGGCATGGGTGGCGTTGTCGGGTCAATGGATGGAAGTTGCTTTTTCTATGACATTGAGGAGAACCGTTTGCAATTAACATCTCAAGTAAGCCTTCAAGGGAAGAAGAAGTTGAGCAGAAAGAGGATCACCGGGTTTCAGTTTTGCCCGAAAGATGGTAGTAAAGTTATGGTCACGTCTGCAGACTCCCAAGTAAAGATTCTCCACGGATCAAACGTTGTTTGCAAGTTCAAAGGTTCCAGGAATGGTGCAAGCCAAGTTCCAGCAACCTTCACATCAGACGGAAAGCACGTTGTTTCAATATCCGAAGATTCAAACGTTCACGTTTGGAACTTCGAAAACGAGTCTGGGAATAAAAAAAACATATGGTCATCCGAGAGTTTCTACTCAAACGAGGCATCGATCGCTATTCCGTGGTGCGGTTTTGAATCAAATTCAACAAGTTTGCCCGGAGGACGACCGCTGTCAAACGGTGAGGCGGATGAAGGTTTCACCAAGGGTCCGGGCTCTGCGGATTGTTTCTCTTTGAGCCGAGGGTTTTTCTTAGACTCCTTGACCAACAAGGTTTCCCCTGCATGGCCTGAAGAAACCCTTTCCGAGGAGTCCAGTCCTGTGATGATATCGCCTTCCATTCCCAAGCCCGATTACAAAATTTTGAAGAATGCTTGGCAAAGTGCATATGAGTCTCCCAACTTGTGGGGGAATGTGGTTGTTACCGCTGGGTTGGATGGACGCATCAGAACATTTCTTAACTATGGTTTACCCACTCGTTTCTGAGAAGTGTTTTTTCACCAGTGTACATTGTTGCTGTATAGGGAGGGGTTAGGTTTATAGCATTGGCATGAACATTGGAGATTATAGAAGAAAGTAATTCGTTTTGTATTCAGATAGGAAAACCATAAAGCAGAAATTCCCATTATGTAATTAATACTTGCATCAAAATTGTGTTATTGCAAATTTGCAATATCTTTGATCCAAATGTTTTTGTTGGATACATTGAAAGAAATATCTTTGATCCAATTTTCTTAACAAGATATTGAGTGATCACGTACATATATGTCTGTTTAATATTAACTCTTATATAGAATTAGCTCTCGGAATGTTATGTGCAACCTCACTTTTTGAGTTTGGACTCAAAACATTGCCAATGTTAACAAGCGCTGACTATAAAAGTTGACACTTTTTAAAATTGTCTCATAGAATATACAAACATATTTTATTGAAGGATAACACATTCACATGCCACATATGGGTAAGAGCCGTACTAACTTATCTCAATGTTCAACCAAAATAAAGTTATCACTGAATGATTTTCAAACCAGTTTGATAGTAGGCATGGCATAGCCCCTATGCTTCTATTTTGCAATCTTAAAATGTGCCAACTTTTCTGTCATCCCATTTTGTGCTAAATATAAATTTCTTAAATAAGACCATAGACTAATACATTCTTTTCAGTAGTACCACTCTTTTTTCTTGAATATTCACACCCCCTTTTTATTGTTTTAATTGTTTTATTGAAATGAAACTGAGTTCTTAAATGGGAAATAAAACATAGTTAATCTTAATTTGAACTTGGTCCATTTCAATCATACTATTAGTAATTACTTAGATTTTAGGTATATCTTCAGTACCATAAAGTTTTTGTGACAACATGAAATGATTTTTCAACTAAGAAACCAAGTACACAATTCAATATCTCTAAACCACTAAAAATATTCTGTAGTTCTCACGGCTTATACTTGTTCAACTTTTAGCTAATAAACATTATGTTGATGTTTTTGGTACATGAACATGGACAGAAACTATCGCTGTGTACACATTCATCGTTCATTCGAAATAATCAATTCTTTGCATGTTTTGAATGAGAAAATAATAATGAGAAAAACAAGTCATATGCCAAGGAATATTAGTTTTTTTTATAACTAAGAAAAAAAAAAAGGAAAATACATATTCTCAGTTTTTTTAAAATTGTGACTTATTACCTTAATTACTTCACCTACTTTGCAAAGATGTATCCATAGGAGTAAAAGATAATTACCTTAATTACTTCGCCTACTTTACAAATTACTTCACCTACTTTTCAATAAAATATAATTCACATTTTATTAATGTGACTTATTACCTTAATTACTTCACCTACTTTGCAATATCTAAGTCATTTTATCATGAAAATTGATCATTATAGAACTAGTTTTAAGAATAACAAGAAATAGAGAGAGGAACCTTAGCGGTCGTCTCCCCTCTTTGTAGGGGTTGAGATTTTCCGTCGCCCCTATCAATATGGGATTGGAGCGGCAAATGATACTACTTTTATGTGTTCTAACGCTTGGGATTGCAACTACATTGGAGGAGATATCGTTGGCGGATGAACGAGATGCGGCTGGGAGGCTGGATCGTGAAGCCTTAGTCGGCCATTCCCTATGTTGCACGGATACGGATACGCCGATACTCGGATACGCGGATACGGGTACGACGATACGGCACTTTCAAAAATTATAGGATACGGGTACGGGGGTATATTTATAAATAATAAAAATATAGGGTATAATTTGCAAATATATATAATTCAGGGGTTCATAAATAAAATAATAATAGTACAAAAAATTAACTATTATAATAAAGTTTCAAAGATTAGTCTAAAAAACTATAGTATTGATATTTTGATTTAAATTCAAATAACATTTTTTTGTTCTCTATTTGCATTTACATCTAAGTCTTGTTTCAATTAAAGCTCATCAAGCAAAGAAATGACAAATTATAGTATTCCATTATTTTCCATACTCCCGAAACCATCTTTATCAATGTTCCACATGTTATGGTCGCTTGGGCGGCTACTGAATTTTCGTCATGTCGTGTATCAAATGAGGGGTTATAGGTTCGGATACGCATATCGGTTCACGGACACGGGTATCGGAAGTATTGATATTTTTAAAATTAAGTCCAATACTTTTACTAAATTACGGATACGGACCCAATACGTACAGGACGCGTATCGGTGAGTATCGGATACGGATACATATCGGATACGCGGATACGGCATCGAGGTGAAGTATCGGTGCAACATAGGCCATTCCGACGGTGGTGGACTAGTGGAATTGGTATTCACCCATATTGTAAGAGCTCCTCCTCCTCTGGAACCACCTCCATACCAGGAATGTTTGGCTCCGATTGTTTTAGGCCTAAATTTGCCCGTTTCAGGTTTCACGAGTCATGTTGCTTTGTATAAGGTGGCTGACTCTAAGTCTAATCCTATGGTTCACGATTGAATCTGTAATTTCTACTTGAATGTTATCTTGTATGTGTTCACGATTTTAATATAACAACCGTTCTTTTATGATAAAAAAAGAATAACAAGAAATAAACAGATTTACATCACAAGTTAGCATATAAATTGATTATTGGGATCAAAACTAAATTGAGAAAAAATTTCTAAATAGGATGAAAGGTAACACATTTCCTCAAATTTCTCCGCAATTGTATTTTCACAAAATATAACTTTTATCCTAGGAAAAAAAATCTACGGCAATGTTTGTGGCTTTTTATTTTTACTAATCCTATTTTGAAAATAATGCATAATTATTACTATTTGTGAATCATTTACTCCACATATTGGTTTTAACACATTATTACTCATATTTGTGACCTTTTACTCATGAGTTTTTAGCATTACTTTTAATAGAAAATTTGGCAATTTGAAACTATACATTGGAGCGGCATATATGAACCAAATTGTCCATGAAGTATTCAGGTTTAGCTTTCAATTCATAGGTCGTTGTTTCGATATAGGGCCAACCGACCATTTGGGCTGGCCCAATACCACATGAGGACATTTCGGGATGGTTTAAAAACACCAAGTAGGAGGATCGAACGGTCCTTATATAATTGGAAAAAAGGTCAAATAAATTCTTATACTATTGACTATTTTTGAAAAAAAAAAATCATCTAAGCCCATATACTAAAAAATCAATGGGAAAATGGAAATTAATAATCCAACTTTTTAACGGTCTTCTTACAATTGTCTCACCTTATCGTTATTTATGAATAATCCAACATTTGCACCTCATCTTCACTCGTTGGTCTCTGACCGGTTGATGACATGTTATTTCAAGTTTTATCATTTTCTTTGCAAACCATTCAACCATAAATTCCACCTTTCACAAATCTTCACCAAGCAGTCACACATATCATTTTTATTTTTTCTTCCTAAAACTTTTCCTTTATTATTTTTATCATCTTGACTCTTTTATTCCCCTTTTGGTCTTCTTATTCTTATTTTTATCACTTTTCAATTTCTTTTTCCAATGTTTATGTATTCCATTTTTCCTTCTTTTTCTTCTTCCCGCTTATTATTTCATTTTCATTTTTTATATATTTTTTCAGATTAGTTTTCTTATAAAAGATCTTTTTCTCACCGTACTAACTTTTTACTTAGTTACAATTATTTATTTCCTTTTTCATTTTCTTAACTTTATTCTACCACTAATATATATTTGAGAAAATAATTCCGAATAATGCACAAATAGGACTATGTTATTTATCTTCCCAAAATAGGACTAAAGTACCATCTATCTTCTTATTCTACATTTCTACCCTTACCATAACCTAATAGGATAATCATATTTTACATTATAATAAAAATAAAAATAATAAAAGGTATTTCATTTTATAAAAATATAGTAACAAAATAAAAAGAAAGTTAATTAAAACAATTTTTTATAAATAAAAAATAACAAATAGTGATAAAAAATAATTTTAAAAAAACATTAAAAATAAATAGAACCAGATAAAACATATTAAAAAATTGTTTTAATTAACTTTCTTTTTATTTTGTTATTATATTTTTATAAATAGAAATACCTTTTGTTATTTTTCTTTTTTATTATAATGTAAAATATGATTATCCTATTAAGTTATGGTAAGGGTATAAATAATGTAGAATAAGAAGATAGATGGTACTTTAGTCCTATTTTGGGAAGATAAATAACATAGTTCTATTTGTGCATTTCGGGATTAGTTTAGTGTTGTTTTGGAGCTATTTTCTCAAAAATATATTAGTGGTAGAATAAAGGTAAGAAAAGGAAAAAGGAAATAAATAAGTGTAAGTAAAAAGAAAATAAAGTAAAAAGTTAGTACAGTGAGAAAAAAATCTTTTATAAGGAAACTAATCTGAAAAAAATATATATAAAAATGAAAATGAACTAATAAACGGGAAGAAGAAAAAGAAGGAAAAATGGAATACATAAACATTGAAAAAAATAAAATAAATTGAAAAGTAGTAAAAATAAGAAAAAGAAGACAAAAAAGCGGAATAAAAGACTCAAGACGATAAAAATAAAAAAGGAAAAATTTTAGGAAAAGAAAAAAGAAAAATGATATGTGGGACCATTTGAAGAAGATTTGTGAAAAGTGGGATTTATGGTTGAATGATTTGCAAAAAAAAAAATGAAAACATCTGGAATAGCATGTCATCAACCGGTCAGGGACCAGCGAATGAAGATAGGGTGCAAAGATTGGATTATTCATGAATAACGATAAGGTGAGACTATTATAAGAAGACCGCTAAAAGGTTGGATTTTTAATTTCCATTTTGCCAAAATCAATCACATAGATACATTTACTAATGAAAAACAATCAAATAGATCAAATGACCGGAAAGCAACATATTCTAGCATTTTCTTCTTTTCTCTTTCCTTATTTCTTTTTTGAAGCACATCAGCCGCTTGTTTTTTTCAATTCCTATTTCTCCTTTAATTTTTTTTTCTCAATGCCGATCTTCTGTGGCGACTTATTTGTTATCTTTCATTTTTTTCTTCATCCTATCATTCCAATGATTTCTATTTTTACTCTTTTCTTCTTCATTTTTACCCCCGCTTCCTTTTTATTTGTTGCCTTCTCCAATAAATATTTTGTTTCATTTGTTTCTAATTATTTCAATGACGTGTTTACTTGAACTTATTTCAGTCTCATACTAGACCATATCAAACTTAAACAAATCAGATCAAACTTAAACAGACCAGACTAGACCATACTTCGATAGTTATAAAAT